TGAATATTTTTTGTTAATTATTCATGCTATCACAAAATTATGATCATTCATTGAGGTACAGAGGAACACAAAAAGTATTGAGTAGGTACAATGGCAGGTTGATATATTGAAATCTTATACTTTGCAGGCCAACTTACAGGAGAATCTGCAAGAAAAAGACCACTGAGGAGTTCCACCCTTGGCCATATCTGGCCACTACCATGAACTGTGTATTCTGGATCTTCTATGGCATACCAATTGTCCACCCTGATAGCACTCTTGTGGTAACAATCAATGGCGTTGGGCTTGGCTTGGAGATAATCTATCTCACACTTTTCTTCTACTACACCAACTTTAAGAACAGAGTAAAGTGACTTAAACCCAGTCTGATTAGTCTACTGTTTTTCTAAATTTTTTTTGCTGTGCTTATTAATTGAAATGTACCTATCAGAGGACTATAGGGCTCGTCCTTACCGCGGAGATGGTGCTGCTTGTTATCATTGCTGCCATCACTCTCGTCTGCTTTCACACGCACAACGCAAGGTCCATGTTCGTGGGGATTGTCTGCATCGTTTTTGGGAGCCTCATGTACTTTTCCCCTTTATCCATCATGGTAAGTATTCACTCATTGTTATTGATATATATATATATCATATATATGTGTTTATACTAATCAGTCATTGCATTCTTTTTGTTTTGGGCTAATTCGATTGATTGAACTCTTAACAGTGGACAGTTTGGAAAACAAAAAGTGCTGAGTTCTTGCCGTTTTGGCTCTGCCTTGCTGGTTTCCTCAATGGCGTGTGCTGGTTCTCTTATGCCTTCCTCAAGAAATTCGACCCGTATCTCGCTGTAAGTTCATTCTTTTTACTAGTTTTTGTGCATTAATCTATCCCATTTTATTCTGTTTTCTGACAATTATTTATTTTTTTTGGTTGGTGTAGATTACAAATGGGCTTGGGGGGATCTTTGGTTTATTCCAGATTCTTGTCTATACTTACTACACTTTAAAAGGAAAGAGTTCCAAAGGATTATCAGTAGGAGATGGTGCTAAGACAAGTGATGAGCAGCTCCAGAAAAACTACATGGCATCACCAGTTTGATCTTGATCCCTTTCCATAGACTTCATTTTGCTATGGAATTTGCTATTTCCAAGAGATCAGCATATAGTAGTTTAGTAGTAATCAGTAAATAAAATTGCTTCTCTTTTTTTTTTTTAACTTGATTAGGTATATGCTGAATTTTGGGACCTATTTTCTTTATGAAAGTCTAATGAAATTGTCTATGAAGTTTCATTTACGTGTTTCAATTTTTCGGTTTACTGTTACTGTATCGGATTTGGAAGTGTTTGCATTATCTTATACTTAAGTCTGGTCACAATATGTATGGCGATATAATACTGTGTGATTTTATTTGATGTGTAATATTTCTGGTTAGATCATTAAGTTTATAAAGGAAAATTATCTAATATCTTACTCTGAAAATGACATCGAATAATTTTGGCACGAGATCTTCGTGGGTTGATTATCAAATATTGTGGAAGGCTTCTGATTTTCCGCAAGAGTCGTCTCGATGAGCACATATTTATTTCAGGTTTTCTGCATTTTGACTTTGACAGCTAACAATTTGTTTTACTTATTATTAAATTTGTATTTATAAGTTATGTTTGGTAACTAAATAAATTATTTTATAACTAATTTGATTGGCATATAAGTTTCATGTTACCAAATAAGCTTTCATTTAGTAAGAAGAGTAACTTTAAAAAGTTCCAACTTATTTCATAAGTTTCTGTGCACATCATTTAAATAAACTTGAATTTTTATTTCAATTAGCTTATTAGCTAATTTACATAACACTTTTTTCAGCTTGTAAATAACAAATTATAAGTTTGAAAATCTGCAGAATTTTCAAAGAAAATGACTTCAAACCGAAAGGTATTAAAATCTTGTTTGTGTAAATGAACTCTAATGTTATACCCTTGCTGGTTATGGATTGTTGATTTGTAAATAACAAATTAAAGCCAACTAATGTTTTCATAAATTTATACTCACTGCAGTTATGGATTGTTGATTTTTTTTTATATAATCAACCAACTAATTTTAGTTACATTGTTGATTTTTTTTTTTATATATATATAATCAACCAACTAATTTTAGTTAGATACTAGTATTCGACATGTGCATTTGCACAGATATACATAAAGTATTGAGAGTTATTTGTATTCATATAATTATTAAATTTTTCTTGCACTTTTTCCAGGCCAAATTTAAAATTAAAAGAATTGGGATAATTATTTTTTTAAATTGCGTTAATCATATTGGATGTAATGCATATTTTGGTATGTATTTTTTGTGTGAATTATTTATTATTTATTTAGGAATTTCAAATAGGTTTTTTATTTTCCAAAAGAAGTTAATTTAAATGTAACCACAACAATAACATCTAATCACATTAAATAGTCAACACATTATATGATCAGCTGGAAGTAAATCAAAGTTTAAAATGATTTTTGTAATTTTGAAGTGATTAGTGTGTTGATTATTTAATAATTAAATAGAAATTAAATAAATAAAAAGTAACGATTTTTTAGGGAAAAGTTATATTGTCACATAGGTATAATTTAATAGGTTTTATTAAATGCTCATGAGCCAGTAATTATAATCATGTCGAGCTCGAACTATGGCTCAAACTTGGTTCATAAATTGAATGAGCCGATACACATATCCACGTTTGTCTCACCTATTAATATTAATGAGTCAAATTATATAAAATCACACAAAATTCATATTCCAGACCTTAACGAGTCGAGTCGAGCTTTTGACAACTTTTTCTCAAAATTATATAAAAGGGTTAATTGCCAAAAAAATCAC